CTTCATCTCCTCCTCTTTCATCTCCTCCTCCTCCTCCTCCTCCTCCTCCTCCTCCTCCTCCTCCTCCTCCTCCTCCTCCTTCATCTCCTCTTCCTCCTCCTCCTCCTCCTTCATCTCCTCCTCCTCCTCCTCCACCTCCTCCTCCTCCTCCTCCTCCTCCTCCTCCTCCTCCTCCTCCTCCTCCTCCTCCTCCTCCTCCTTCATCTCCTCCTCCTCCTCCTCCTTCATCTCCTCCACCATCCCCCTCCTCCTCCTTCTCTTTTCTCCTCCTCCTCCTCCTCCTTCTCCTCCTCCTCCTCCTCCTTCATCTCCTCCTCCTCCTCCTCCTCCTCCTCCTCCTCCTCCTCCTCCTATTTCTCCTCCTCCTCCTCCTCCTCCTTCATCTCCTCCTCCTCCTCCTTCTCCTTCATCTCCTACTCCTCTCCTCCTTCATCTCCTCCTCCTCCTCCTCCTTCATCTCCTCCTCCTCCTCCTCCTCCTCCTCCTTCATCTCTCTCCTCCTCCTCCTCCTCCTCCTTCATCTCCTCCTTCTTCTCCTCCTTCATCTCCTCCTCCTCCTCTTCTTCTCCTCCTTCATCTCCTCCTCCTCCTCCTCCTCCTCCTTCATCTCCTCTTCCTCCTCCTCCTCCCCCTCCTCCTCCTCCTCCTCACTCCTTCATCTCCTCTTCCTCCTCCTCCTCCTCCTCCTCCTCCTCCTCCTCCTCCTCCTCCTCCTCCTTCATCTCCTCCTCCTCCTCCACCTCCTCCTCCTCCTCCTCCTCCTCCTCCTCCTCCTCCTTCATCTCCTCCTCCTCCTCCTCCTCCTTCATCTCCTCCTCCTCCTCCTCCTCCTCTCCTCCTCCTCCTCTTTCATCTCCTCCTCCTCCTCCTCCTCCTTCATCTCCTCCTCCTCCTCCTTCATCTCCTCCTCCTCACCTTCATCTCCTCCTCCTCCGCCTTCATCTCCTCCTCCTCCTCCTCCTCCTTCATCTCCTCCTCCTCCTCCTCCTCCTTCATCTCCTCCTCCTCCTCACCTCCTCCTCCTTCATCTCTCCTCCTCCTACCTCTCCTTCCTCCTCCTCCTTCATCTCTCCTCCTCCTCCTCTCCTCCTCCTCCTCCTCCTCCTTCATCTCCTCCTCCTCCATTCCTTCCTTCATCTCCTCCTCCTCCTCCACCTCCTCCTCCTTCATCTCCTCCTCCTCCTCCTCCTCCTTCATCTCCTCCTCCTCCTCCTTCATCTCCTCCCCCTCCTCCTCCTCCTTCATCTCCTCCTCCTCCTCCTCCTCCTCCTTTATCTCCTCCTCCTCCTCCTCCTCCTTTATCTCCTCCTCCTCCTCCTCCTCCTCCTTCATCTCCTCCTCCTCCTCCATCTCCTCCTCCTCCTCCTCCTCCTTCATCTCCTCCTCCTCCTTCATCTCCTCCTCCTCTTTCATCTCCTCCTCCTCCTTCATCTCCTCCTCCTCCTCCTTTCATCTCCTCCTCCTCCTTCATCTCCTCCTCCTCCATCTCCTCCTCCTCCTCCTCCTTCATCTCCTCCTCCTCCTCCTTCATCTCCTCCTCCTCCTCCTTCATCTCCTCCTCCTCCTCCTTCATCTCCTCCTCCTCCTCCTTCATCTCCTCCTCCTCCTCCTTCATCTCCTCCTCCTCCTCCTCCTTCATCTCCTCCTCCTCCTCCTCCTCCATCTCCTCCTCCTCCTCCTCCTTCATCTCCTCCTCCTCCTTCATCTCCTCCTCCTCCATCTCCTCCTCCTCCTCCTCCTTCATCTCCTCCTCCTCCTCCTTCATCTCCTCCTCCTCCTCCTTCATCTCCTCCTCCTCCTCCTTCATCTCCTCCTCCTCCTCCTTCATCTCCTCCTCCTCCTCCTTCATCTCCTCCTCCTCCTCCTCCTTCATCTCCTCCTCCTCCTCCTCCTCTATTTCCTCCTCCTCCTCCTCCTCCTCCTCCATTTCCTCCTACTCCTCCTCCTCCTCCTCCTCCTCCTCCTCCATTTCCTCCTCCTCCTCCTCCTCCTCCTCCTCCTCCTCCTCCTCCTCCTTCTCCATTTCCTCCTCCTTCTCCATTTCCTCCTCCTCCTCCATTTCCTCCTCCTCCTCCATTTCCTCCTCCTCCTCCATTTCCTCCTCCTCCATTTTCTCCTCCTCCTCCATTTCCTCCTCCTCCTCCATTTCCTCCTCCTCCTCCATTTCCTCCTCCTCCTCCATTTCCTCCTCCTCCTCCTCCTCCTTGTCTGTTTCCTCCTCCACCTTGTCTGTTTCCTCCTCCTCCTCCATTTGCTCCTCCTCCTCCATTTCCTCCTCCTCCTTGTCCATTTCCTCCCCCTGTGTGCTGTGTGGTGCAGCGGTAGCGATCTCGTCTAGCAATCTTGCTGACCTGCGTTCGAATCCCTCGCCACCAGTGGATGGTAACCCTGGCTATTCCTTACACACAGGGGATAATTTAGAAGCAAAATAAAACAGACACTATGTCACACCAAGAATATCCATTGTAACAAATGGAATCAAACTAAATTATTAAATTATTATTATCCTCCTTGTCTGTTTCCTCCTCCTCCTTGTCCGATTCATCCTCCTCCTTGTGTGTTTCCTCCTCCTCCTTGTCTATTTCCTCCTCCTCCTTGTCCATTTCCTCCTCCTCCTCAATTTCCTCCTCCTCCTCCTCCTTCTCCTCCTCCTCCTTCTCCTCCTCCTCCTCCTTCTCCTCCTCCTTCTCCTCCTCCTCCTCCTCCTCCTCCTCCTCCTCCTCCTCCTCCTCCTCCTCCTCCTCCTCCTCCTCCTCCTCCTCCTCCTCCTCTTTCTCCTCCTCCTCCTCCTCTTTCTCCACCTCCTCCTCCTCCTCCTCCTCCTCCTCCTCCTCCTCCTCCTCCTCCTCCTCCTCCTCCTCCTCCTCTTCCTCTTCCTCTTCCTCCTTCTTCTCCTCCTTCTCCTTCCCCTTCCCCTTCCCCTTCCTCTTCCCCTTCCCCTTCTCCTTCTCCTTCTTCTCCTTCTCCTTCTCCTTCTCCTTCTCCTTCTTCTTCTCTTTCTCCTTCTTCTTCTTTTTCTCCTCCTCCTTCTTTTTCTCCTCCTTCTTTTTCTCCTCCTCCTCTCCTCCTCCTCCTCCTCCTCCTCCTCCTCCTCCTCCTCCTCCTCCTCCTCCTCCTCCTCCTCCTCCTCCTCCTCCTCCTTTTCTTTCTTCTTCTTCCCCATCCTCTTTCTCTTTTGCTGACATATTTATGCATTCATTCTTTTGTATAATTCCCCAGGTAAAATTGCCCAATGGCTCCCAGAAGGTCGCTGGTACAACTTTGCTTATTCTTCCACTGTCAACGTCCTCAACCTGCTTGTCTGCCTCATTGGGGCAGGGATGTTTGCCAAGTTCACCATAGTCATTTTTGCTGTTGTCCTCTCATGCACAGCCTCTGTCATTATCAGCTTCCTTGCAGAGAATCACAGGATTGACGTAAGTATCAGGCTGCTGAGAATAGTCTGATTGCCATGGGTGTATATTTATTTGAAAGATGTGTTTTACTAAAAAATTATTTGCAGTGTCTCTGAGGGATGAATACTTCCTTTCATATGGTCTTTTATTCTATAACTCATATTTTTTAAATAAATGAACATTGCCACAAAATTTCATCTCACAAATTTGACTTGCTTTTTATCTTCTTTATATTTTTGAGCCCTGTTCCTTCTTTGTACCAATGTAGAAAGGAAGAATATATGAATTCATATAAATGTCCATCTTATCTTTCCATTTTATATTGCATTAACTTGTTAAAGCCAGAAACATGGAGGAATCCAATAAGGCTTTCCAGAATTGATAAAGGAATTTATTTATATATGTAAATATGGAATTACAAAGAATATTTGAATAAACATTTGACCACAGATATGAAAAAATCAGCAGCTTCTTCCCTCTTTTCCAAAGGTCCCCATCCCAGCAGCAAACCAGCTGGTCCAGAATGACACCTACCCTGTGAATGGAACATATACATGGTTCTCAGCCAATACCCTGAGGGACAACCTCTGGCCAGAATACTCTGTGGATTACACAACAGATGATCCTGTCAACTATGCTACTGTCTTTGGGGTGCTATTCAGTAGTGTCACAGGAATTATGGCTGGAGCTAACATGTCAGGTGAGCTGCAGTCATGCCTATGACCCCTGTTATGCTGATATTACATAAAAATGATTTGAGGGGGACTCCAGATTCAGTGAATTTGGAGGTGAATTGGATCTATGCTCAAGAATTTAACCCAAAGATTCCAGATGCTTCACTGCCATCATGTGACTCAAAATGTGGGTATTAGGCTTCCTTACTCTGCCAGGTGTGCGGCTTGTAGGCCAGATACACAATAACACTTGTGTGCAGTTGCAAGACTCCATGTCTCCCATTTGCAATGTTATTTTTTTCCCATTTTCCAATGTCTCTTTGTCATTTGATTTCCTTTATCTAGATGGTAATTGCACAGACTCCATTTCTATGTAGGTAGTCTGTAAGTAACACTATATTGTTGTTTTTTTTACATTTTTCCATAACTGTCAATTTTCTGTAATATAACTTCAGTCACTGGCCACAGTGGGCATCCCCCCTGGAGGTGGTGCTCTTCCAGTCTTGGCTCACAGCCGATGCATTCCACACTTGTTTATTGATAGAAATATTGTAAAAGTCCCTTCCTAAATGCCCATTGAGTCTAATCACCCTCCAAGGGCTTTGTGCATTCGTAGTGCACTGAAATTCTCATGGTGGCATGTTCCCATCACCCCAGTGATCAGCCAGATTTTTCCATGACAGCATGTTCACGTTACTTGCCCCTCAAGCCAGATTTTTCATGATGTGATGGTTGCATCATTTTAGGGGTTAAATATAGGATTCATTGCCAGTGCATCTTAAAGGAGCTTGTTCAGAAATTAATTCAAAATCTGTGATTGGAAAATTAAAATTATTTTGGGATGTTGGCAGAAGGCTGTGCTGTGAGTGCTCTGGTTGTACATTAAAGATAAGTTGTACATAACCTATAGAAGGCTGATCTGGCTGATCAC